TGTACATATAATTTATTGTTAATATCATAAGCTAGGTTGCTCTTTTTGAGCGACACCTAATAAAGTTATTTTTGAACTGGAACTGGGCCGAAACGCAACGCGTTGGCTTCTCTTCAGTCACGCATTAATCTTTCGCCTTTTACTAAAGATTACCGTGGAGGGGAGCGCTCTAAATGAGCATTCAGCAATTTTTGAAGCCCTCTAAGCCGAGGGCTAATTTATAAATAAAAATTAGAGAAATCTGTGGCCTTTCTTATCTTCTCCGTGACGACCACAAGTTGATGAAGGGTTGAGTGATTTGGCTGGAACCCGAATTGTTCGGGCCTGAGGGGATGTTCGTCGCTGAGCGTTTCGGCCTGAAAAGACCTAGTCCAAACGCATTTTTACAGATTAGCAAAATGGTATTTAGAGTTTCCTTTTGAAAAATGGCATATAAAAAATATGCCTTAGCCACTTTATATATCTGTTTTTAATTTATATAAAAAGGGGAACGCGCGAACGCAGCTCCCCGCTACCAAAAATTTCGCACCCCAGCTATCCCGATTTGGGAAAGTGGTCAGGGTCAGCCCTTCCAAAGTGCAATGGAAAGGTCTCTCCTGAGGGCACAGGAATCTTGAGCTCCGTGACACCGATGCCAGGTAAGTATGCTGTTTCGCCCTAAAAAGTCTATTCCTAACACATTTTTATAAAACGCCAAAATGGTGTTTGGCTGTCATTTCAAAAATATATTATTATTGAGTTGAGTAAGTCAATGCGATGGATCTTGACTGCGATGCCCATCTTTTTAGAAAGAATAAGAAAATGGGCACATGGGAATTAGCCAAACATATGCGCTTGCTAATGACTGCGACTGCATTTTAAACGATTTTTTTTTTTTCAAAGAGATAAAAGAAGGCCAGAACAAAAATTACTAAAAAATATAATAAAGCCATTATTTCGCCTCGTATTTGCTCCACGAAAAAAATGTTCTTTAAATGAAAAAAATAAAAAGCCAAATATATTAATCAAAATATTACCGAAAATTTTCCTCGGGTTTATAAAAAGCGACATGCAAATATTGATACCAATTGGTTGAGTTGTTTATGAGTTTAACATGAAACAGACATTAACTTTTATGTATAAGAAGATAGAACGCTAATTAGGTCTTTTAATAAGGCCTCTGGTTAAATATTTTTCGCGCTGACTTGGAGCCTAGTGTAATGATTCGCTCCAAGTCGCGAAGGAAAGGGTTCGAGTCTGTACTAGTCGATTTTTTTTTTTTTTTTGACAAAAGCAGATGTCTTGGGGGTTTATAACAGGTGAATAATATAGATATTCAATGAGGATTTCTCTAATTTTTGTTTATAGTTTTGGGACTTTATAACAAGTGAATAATAGATATTCAATGAGGATTTCTCTAATTTTTATTTATAAATTAGCCCTCGGCTTAGAGGGCTTCAAAAATTGCTGAATGCTCATTTAGAGCGCTCCCCTCCACGGTAATCTTTAGTAAAAGGCGAAAGATTAATGCGTGACTGAAGAGAAGCCAACGCGTTGCGTTTCGGCCCAGTTCCAGTTCAAAAATAACTTTATTAGGTGTCGCTCAAAAAGAGCAACCTAGCTTATGATATTAACAATAAATTATATGTACACGTTCTTAACATTGACAGGGTATTCACATCTCTACAAGGTTGGGGCCTGGCGCGCGGTCTTTAAATCGGTGTGTTCTTCTTTTCTAATATGTTCTGTTATTTTTTATTTTTATTATTTTTTTTTCTTTAACGTGTTTTTTCTTAAGATTTTTCCATTTTTCTACATTTGTTCTCAATCGATATAGGAGTTGCCTTGGCTTTGGTTTCCTTCTCTTCAGTTCTTGTTTGTAGTTACAGGCTTCTCTGAATGTAATATTTTCGAGATTTTCAGATTTATCGTAAAAGTTGAAAGCTTGTTTTATTATGAAATCATTTATATTTTCTAAATTGAGGTCCTTTCTGATGATACTACTTCTGACGAACCATGGGGCACCTATTATTTTCTTTAATACCTGGTTTTCGAAACTTTCGAATTTTTTCAGTGTAGTTTTGTTTGCGGTTATGAAGACTGGGTGGCCGTAGGTTAGGATTGGTCTTAGAATAGACGTGTATATGGTACGTTTGCAGTGTAGGGACAGTTTGCTCTTGTTCCCTAAAAATAGTGCTAGTCGGTGCTGGGCTGCTTTTGCGAGGTTTATTCGGTTTTGCACGTGTTCTTGGAAGGTCAGGTGTTGGTCAAGGATGACGCCCAGGTAGCGGACGCTGTCCTTCCATTTTATGGGTTCATCAGGGTAGCCTAGATCTTCCAAGGGCTTCTTCACTTTTAGTCTTTTGTCTGAGAAGAGTATAGCTTCGGTTTTTTGTGGGTTCAATTTAACCCGCCATTCGTCGCACCAAATATTAACGAATACCAGTGCTTCTTGAAGTTTGAGAAAGATGGTATCGAGGTTGAAGGCTGAGACTAGAGTTGCGGCATCGTCTGCGTATAGATGTAGGGACATTCCATCGGGGCATGGGTAGTCATCGATAAAAATATTGAAGAAGGTGGGGCCGATGACTGACCCTTGAGGGACTCCTGCTCGAATTTTCCTTGGGGTTGACAGAACATCTTTGACTTTTACTCTAAAGTTTCTGTCACAGAGGAAGCTTTTTGTCATTCGGATGATGTCTCCAGGTAGGTTCTTTTTTGCCATTTTATATAAGAGGGCCTCGTGCCAAACTTTGTCAAATGCCTTGGAGATGTCAAAGAAGATGCCTCCTGTTAATTGTTTTGATTCCATGGCCTTTCTTATCTTCTCCGTGACGACCACAAGTTGATGAAGGGTTGAGTGATTTGGCTGGAACCCGAATTGTTCGGGCCTGAGGGGATGTTCGTCGCTGAGCGTTTCGGCCTGAAAAGACCTAGTCCAAACGCATTTTTACAGATTAGCAAAATGGTATTTAGAGTTTCCTTTTGAAAAATGGCATATAAAAAATATGCCTTAGCCACTTTATATATCTGTTTTTAATTTATATAAAAAGGGGAACGCGCGAACGCAGCTCCCCGCTACCAAAAATTTCGCACCCCAGCTATCCCGATTTGGGAAAGTGGTCAGGGTCAGCCCTTCCAAAGTGCAATGGAAAGGTCTCTCCTGAGGGCACAGGAATCTTGAGCTCCGTGACACCGATGCCAGGTAAGTATGCTGTTTCGCCCTAAAAAGTCTATTCCTAACACATTTTTATAAAACGCCAAAATGGTGTTTGGCTGTCATTTCAAAAATATATTATTATTGAGTTGAGTAAGTCAATGCGATGGATCTTGACTGCGATGCCCATCTTTTTAGAAAGAATAAGAAAATGGGCACATGGGAATTAGCCAAACATATGCGCTTGCTAATGACTGCGACTGCATTTTAAACGATTTTTTTTTTTCAAAGAGATAAAAGAAGGCCAGAACAAAAATTACTAAAAAATATAATAAAGCCATTATTTCGCCTCGTATTTGCTCCACGAAAAAAATGTTCTTTAAATGAAAAAAATAAAAAGCCAAATATATTAATCAAAATATTACCGAAAATTTTCCTCGAGTTTATAAAAAGCGACATGCAAATATTGATACCAATTGGTTGAGTTGTTTATGAGTTTAACATGAAACAGACATTAACTTTTATGTATAAGAAGATAGAACGCTAATTAGGTCTTTTAATAAGGCCTCTGGTTAAATATTTTTCGTGCTGGCTTGAAGCGTAGTGTAATGACTCGCTCCAAGTCGCGAAGGAAAGGGTTTGAGTCTGTACTAGTCGATTTTTTTTTTTTTTTTTGACAAAAGCAGATGTCTTGGGGGTTTATAACAGGTGAATAATATAGATATTCAATGAGGATTTCTCTAATTTTTGTTTATAGTTTTGGGACTTTATAACAAGTGAATAATAGATATTCAATGAGGATTTCTCAAATTTTTATATATATGCTCATTTAGAGCGCTCCCCTCCACGGTAATCTTTAGTAAAAGGCGAAAGATTAATGCGTGACTGAAGAGAAGCCAGAGCGTTGCGTTTCGGACTGAAAAGACCTAGTCCAAATGCATTTTTACAGAGTAGCAAAATGGTAATTAGAGTTTCCTTTTGAAAAATGGCATATAAAAAATATGCCTTAGCCACTTTATATATCTGTTTTTAATTTATATAAAAAGGGGAACGCGCGAACGCAGCTCCCTGCTACCAAAAATTTCGCACCCCAGCTATCCCGATTTGGGAAAGTGGTCAGGGTCAGCCCTTCCAAAGTGCAATGGAAAGGCCTCTCCTGAGGGCACGGGAATCTTGAGCTCCGTTTTATATGTGGTTTACCGGGCTACTAACCAAAAGTAATGATTTTTGAGCCCATGCGCGATGTGAGGAGGCAAGGAATAGGAGTATGTAGCGGCAGGAGAAGACTCGCAGGGAAGTGGAAACGTTGGGAAAGCAGGGGAACAGCGCCTGGGAGAAGTGAGGCAGGGGTCCAGTAACCAGTAGAAGGTGGCGGGAGGAGTTGGAGGCGGAGGGTTTTGAAGCCTAAAACGTGTGGGCCTTAGACTTCAGAATGGGGCAGTTTGAGGCTCTCGCCTCGTGGTTGCCTGAGAGGCCCTTTTGGCAGCAGTTGGCACATTTTGAGGTGTGCTGGTCAGGTCTGGTTGGGCAGGAGCGGCCTTCATGGCCGTCTTCACCGCAGTGGAAGCACTTGGGAGCTCTGGAACAGTGGGAGTACAGTGAACGAACAGTGAATGAATGTATATGTGTTTGTGTGTGTCCTTTATGCCTGACCAAACCACTCATTGGAACGCCATGAAACTTTGGGAAGTTATTTAGTATAGTACTGGGAAGGTTTCTGAAAAAATAATTTCTTGAATATCTTGAATATCCTTAGAGTTATTTGCAGATTTGTAGATTTAACTCGCAAGTAGCACCACCATTGCGACGATGATAACAAGTTTTTTTTATCTTCAAGTTTTAAAAATTGTAAAAAAAAAAAAAATGCATCGGCCCGGAATCGAACCCGGGGCGCCCGCGTGGCAGGCGAGCATTCTACCACTGAATATAATTCAAAAGCCCCTTGTGATGAAATCGCCTATTTGAGTTCGAGCCTGTACTAATCATTTTTTTTTAAATAATTTATTTTATTTCATAACAAAGGCAGAAATTTTGGGACCTTATAACACGTGGATAATATAGATATTAACTACCAATTGCGGACTGGTAAGCTTTTCAGCATTAACGAATCAATGAGGATTTCTCTAATTTTTATTTATAAATTAGCCCTCGGCTTAGAGGGCTTCTAAAATTGCTAAAGCCTCATTTAGAGCACTCCCCTCCACAATATTCTTTAGTAAAAGGCGAAAGATTAATGCATGGCTGAAAGGAAACCAGAGTGTTGCAAAATTCTTGCAAAAATCAACCCCACCAGTGAGTGCAAGTAACCAAACGGAGCTCTGGCATATTTGTAAGTGCAAATGTGTAGACATGTGGTGCACTTACAGTAAAAGCAGTCCATGATTATCATGGCCCGAACCATGTGTACCTGGGATAATAATAATAAAATAAAGAGTAGAATTGCAGTGTTGTCTTGGAAACAATCTGTGACAATGGAAAATAAAGAAAAACAATTTGATTAATGAAAGTTTATTGAATAACACTCTCTCTTTTACATATAGTAATAGCAGAAACTTCAGATCTCTTAAACTTACCTTGGCAACAGTACAATGATGTAGACATAAACATGCTCCAAATATAGCAACTTTTTACCATAACAATAATTCTCTCTTAATATCCAACCAACAAATATGACAAATTGAAAAGGAATTTAAAAAAAAATATCACATAATAAATTTTGTTCCAATGGTATAACGGCATAAAAAAAATCACAGTTTTCCAACATAAGTAACATGTTATTTTGGTATAAAGAGGGGGGCACAAACCAACAAAACAATAATATTAGTAAATAAAAAAGGGTATATATATGTAAATATGTCTGTTATATATATATATGTAGTATAATATGGTGTGTCATGTGTAGTTATAGAATGCTAAATATAGGAAGATATGTAAATAGAGATATAAGAGTAGATAGATAAAGGATAGTAGACATGGAGGGATTGTACAATAGGTCAAGCAATGAGGAAATCACGAAGACAAGCAAGATATACATACAGTCTCTTAAAACGTGCAAATATTATTCAATAGCCAAATGACATCTACAAGTTGGAGGGGAAAGGTCATCTCGATATGTAGGATAAACAAGAGAGGAAGGATTTTAAGTGAATGAGAATAGTGCAATGGAGAAAAGAGCAACCATCTACAACAGATATCTAGAGGGTGGGGGTGTCCTCATGGATGTAAGGACTGGCAGGGGAGCCAGTGGAGGTGAAAGAGTTGCGACGTCGGGACTCCTCGCTGGTGATGAAGTTGAGCAAGTCAATCCTGGTCAGCAGGCCAATGATAATCTGCTTAGTCTCCAGGGTGTCCTTCTTCACAACTGCACCACACATCCCAATGGTACTGTAGCTGCACAGATACATAATGTTGATACATTTACTAGAATGGGGGTCGGTGGGAGGATGGTTTGAACCGTTGCTTTTCGACTGCTACCACCCAGGTTCGATTCCTGCATTGGGCATTTTTTTCTGATTTAAAAAATATGCTCCAATGGCCCCTGATTCTTGCAAAAGTCCAACCCTAACAGCGAATGCAAGTAACTAAATGGGGCTCTGGCACATTTATAAGTGCAAAGTCGAATTGCTTTTCAGTAAAAGTGCACTTACAGTAAAAGCAGTCGCCTACTTCTACCCACCATGATTATCATGGCCTGTACCTCGTGTACTAGGGATGCGCAAAAAAAAAAAAAAAACATTTACTAGAAGCTGCTGATGCACTAGAGAAAAAAGGCACAAAAGAACCCTTGCCACAGAAAAATAAACTTACTTTTTAAGAAATAGAAACAGTAGCCAAAACAAAAATAAATAAGAACTGTAGGATCCCACCTAAGCACAGTTGGTACAGTGGCATGGACTCAGGAGGAGCTCTGAACCTCAGACAGCATCAAACAACACGAACAAGATTTAGAACGGGCCATCTCAAGCCATTGAAGATAGAAAATAATAACAAAATCTACCCCACTTGCCCAAAATGTAACTTGGCACCTGCAGCTCCAGAACACATTTTGGCTTGCATTAGATGCACTAAACAGGATCTTTGGGAGAGGCTGCTGCTTATCATAAAACAGCTCGAGGAGCATGAACTCATGGAATTTGTGTAATCTTTACACAAGGGGATAAGAAACAACAAAATTTACTAGAGTGATATTTGAAGTGCAAAGTCGAACTGCTTTACACATGTGTAGACATGTGGTGCACTTACAGTAGAAGCAGTCGCCTAATTCTGTTGTTGTTGTTGTTGTTTCTTATCCCCTTGTGTAAAGATTACACGAACGCCTAATTCTACCCACCATGATTATCATGGCCTGTACCACATGTACTAGGGATAAGCAAAAAAAAACTAGGGTATTATTGATAACAGTCTGATAACAATAGGAATGCTTGCTTTTACTGACACTTCATGTATAAGTTGCTTATTTGAATGGTCCCAATAACTAGAGAAGCTTACATCCTGAAAGAAAACATCATATAGAAGGTAATAAGACCAAATCCAAATAAATAAATAGTGTGTGATGTTTCGGTAACAGCATTGTTACCAAAACGTCTCACACTATTATTTATTTGGATTTGGTCTTATTATCTTGTGTTTATAATCTACAGGGCGTACCAGGTAAATTGGGAATTTCAACAATGGTATTTTAACTGAAATTTTTTGCAAGTAAAAATTAAAATATCCGAATGAAATTTGACACAGTAGTAGATAAAAGGATATAGTTTTTATTTATTCAATGAAGTTTCCATTATTAGCTACAACAGTCTCGAGGCGAGTGCGGAATGAAGCACAGGCCTTGGCGACGATGACCTTGTCCATTTGGGTCATCACCGTGTGAACTGCTTTCTTGACAGACTGGATGGTGGTATGAGAAGCTTTGTTGACATCTCTCTCAACAACGCCCCATACATAGTAGTCGAGGGGATTGCAATCTGGAGAGTTAGGGGGCCAAATATCAGGACCCCAGTGACGAGGGACGTTAAGTGTCAGCCACGATTGTGTCTTTTTTGCCTTATGGGCTGGAGCTGAGTCCTGTTGGAAGACATACTTCCTTCCTGCGGCCACCATGTCCATCCAAGGCTTCACAACGGTCTCCAGAACATTGATGTAGGTGTCAGCGTTCATCCTAAGGCCCTTCTCAAAGAAATGGGGAGGCATGACATCACCTTCACTGCTGATAACGCCAAGGACCATTACGGAGGCAGGAAATTTCGTGTGCATCACAACAGGTATCTCTGAGGGGTCTTTACAGATCCAGCGATCATTCCTGGGATTTACCTTTTGGTCCACGTCAAAGTTCTTTTCGTCAGAGAAGAACCTTAGCATGCCAAAAGAGTCGTGTTTCAGGTTGTTGAGGAGGGCAGCAGCCTTTCCTTTTCCGTTATTCTTCATATTCTCAGTCAGCAACTGACCTTTCCGAAGGGCATAAGACTTGAGACTAAGGTCCTCATGGATAGTTCTGACAATTGTCATAGAGCCAACGTCCATTTCCTTGGCTATGGCCCTCATGCTCTTCCCAGGGTTTCCATCAATCTTCTCCTTGACATTTTTGACAAATTCTTCGCCTCTTACCCTGTCCGATCGACGCGAGTGCTTTTTCCTTGTAGCTATCCCCTCTTTGTTACTGTCGGCCTCATCAAACTGCTTCTTGACACGATAAATAGTGGTTTTGGGCAACTTAAGAAAATCCACTATCTCTTTGGGGCTCCTTCCGGCGCGCAGAGCAACGATGATGGCAGCTCGATTTTCAAATTCTCGGTTACTCTTCATCACTACACTGCGCACACATGTACTGTTGCATTTTACATTAATATGGCTACGTAATGAAAAAAAAAACAAGTTTTTAATCTCAAGTAGTTTTTGTTTTATGGACTGTCAAAGTTAGTCCCAATTTACCTGGTACACCCTGTATAATCCAAATTGTGCCTTATCATTATATAGAAGGATAAAAACAACATGTCTTAAAGAAAGGCTCACAAATCTTCAAGAGTTAAAAAGTATATCAAAGAGCAGGTGGGCCTTACATAGTTTCTGGTCATGGACCACGATGGCAAAATGGGCCTTGTCCAGGATTCGAGACAACTTGCCCAAGGTGGTGTCCAGGGTCACCTGCACACAGTATGGTCAAGAGATGATCCTCAGAGCAGGTATCGAGCAAAAACTTCCATTTGACCACTTCATATTGAAAGCTGAACTCTCTAAACTTCTGTTCTTGTTACCTGAGCTGGCCAAATGATCTTTAATATTCATAGTAGTTTCAATTAGGAATTGTGACCCAGAATATACCCTCTCTAAAGGTGAAAATAATTATGTTTCTGCAATATCTTGTAATCTGCATGTCTATTTGGAATAGACACAAGGTAATAAGACCAAATCCAAATGAATAAATAGTGTGTGATGTTTCGGTAACAACACTGTCACACAAACGTCACACACTATTTATTTATTTGGATTTGGTCATTACCTTGTGTTCATAATCTATAATCCAAATTGTGCCTTATTATTTGGATAGAATTTTTACTTCACGCTGTCCCTGATTACATAATCAAACTGATATCTACATTGAAGTTTGAGGGTGTTTGGTAGAGAATCATGTGAAAATAATGATTGGTAAGGAAACGTGAAAACAGAGAGTGATGGGTAAAGAAGCACGTGGAGAGAAGATAATTGGTAAAGAAACATGTGGAGGGTAATATGTAAAGAACATGGAGTAAAAGGGTAATATGTAAAGAACATGGAGTAAGAGGGTAATATGTAAAGAACATGGAGTAAGCGGGTAATATGTAAAGAAGCATGTGGAAACAGAGAGGAATTGGTAAAGAAACATGTGGAGACATAGAGTGATATGTAAAGAAGCAGGTGTAGACAGGGTAATATGTAAAGAAGCACGTGGAGAGAAGATAATTG